ATAATAAAAATCGGTAATTTAATATAAAATGTAGAGATACTTATGCTAATTATTGCGATCGTTACATGAATTCTTAGAACAACATTTGTGTTTGACTAAGATAGAAATATGGAATTAAATTAGTTAGATAGATTCAATGAGAACTCGAATTGGTAAATTGAATACATTAGAAGAATTCGAACGGGTAAACACAATCAATCGTATAAAACTTGGTAATTAAGATTAAGGGGATAACTATGGTAAAATCATGAATCCTAACGCTTAAACCATAATATCAAAAAAATCATTTTCATGTTAGTATATTTAAAATTAGTTAAATAGATTCAACGAGAACTCGAAATGGTAAATTGAAAACATTAGAAGAATTCGAATGGGTAAACATAATCAATTGTATAAAACTTGGTAATTAAGATTAAGGGAATAACTACGGTAAAATCATGAATCCTAACACTTAAACCATCATATTAAAAAAATCATTTTTATGTTAGTATATTTAATAACACTTAACAATGTTTGTGACAGAAGGGATATGAGGAATTTGCTTATTTCCTACCATTAATGCTATTGTTTGTTTTGTATCTATATCTAAATTGCTTTAGTAACATGAGTAATTATCATCACATATAATCTATTCGAATACTCGACATTTCGTACCAGTGAGAAACTTGACTATGTCAATTAAAAATATTTGTGGTCGAGTAAAATTGTTCGTCTAAATGCAAGTGATAGTGACACTTGACCTTAATGTGTTGGGGTACTTAAAATCGACTGGATCTTTCACTTGTAAGTATTAGGGACAATGTTACAAGAACATCAATTGATTAATAGAGTGATCGAGTAATATATTGTTGGAAAACTGAACTTGATGAGTTATTAATTTTGCTTTTCTGTATTATTTATGTATTGAATTATGTGATACTTGTAATTTATTTAATAAATACGTGCACAAATTTATTCATGCATTAGTGAATTAATAAACTTGGTATATGCATGGATGTTTATTTTTAGGATGAAGAATGTGACAATTGTTGGTACATGCACTAGATTAGATACATGTTTTGTAAAGTCTATAAAATCTCGTGGTCTTGTACAAATCTTTGTAAACTTACAAAATCATATGCACCGCACAAGTTTCTAACTAGTTTGCTTAAAAATTTAATTAAAAAGATTGATTATATTCACATTACATTTTTGTTAATTATATATAACATTTTAATTAAATGAAATTCCTAAACATTCGCTCATTTTTTGCATTTGTATCTCCAAATTTTTTTCTTCAACCTTTTATAATTAACTCATCTTATACCAATTATGGCAAAAAATAGATAATAGGACAAGGTAAAAATATTTACTTACCCCTCGTTTAAATACAAAATTTTGACAAAATATTTTCGCACGCTAATAGAATATTTGGATAAAAAATATAATTCGAGATCAAATGATAACTAATTGAAGGTTAAAGACAAAAAATGCAATACAAAGGTTGAAGATATAAGTGCAAAAATGAGTTAGGGACGTTTTATGGCAATTAAAATGTGATATGAATATAATTACCCAAAAGATTACCGTTACGCCTCTTTTAGCGAGACTTTAAGTACTGCTACTTGGCAGTTAAGCGGCAAGTGAACCTTGACCCGCACTCCATGTCATTCCAACCCAGTGATAGTTTGGTCGAACCCCGTGAATAGGTCAAACCTCTATGGGAGGCCGAACCCATTTGCAAGAATCAACCCCATATGGGAATTAAACTCTCATGGACAAGGCCAGCTTCCAGGAGATCGGCAAAAGATCTTATATGCAATCTTCATTAAGTGATTAATATGACAATTCACTGCTACCGTCACCCCCCTTAGCCAAATATGTGAAGTTTAAGAATCGTGTCAGAATTTGAGCAACAAAATCGTATTAGCATTAAATGCTTATAATTGATTGATACTTATGACAAAAAATCTCAGTTGCCTGGATGAGGGCACACATATTTTCATCCAACTATCATTATCCACCCTCTTTTACTATAAAAAATCACACAATGCGTCATTTTTAAGATAATGTAAGTGTAGACTCTCAAACTTTAACTTTGCTATCTACATTTACTCAGATATTCACCCCCAAAATTGAACTCCTTTTTACATAAGAGGCTTGCGTCTAAAGCACCTCCACACCCAAATATTTCTTGCTTCAACTAATTTGATAGTCAAAGTGAGCGTGGCCAACTCTACCACCAACGAGAAAAGCCACATGTGGCTAACGGTTTATCCCAGTGTGCAAGAATTGGCTTGCATGGATGCAAGAGGCCTTGAGATATGATGGCCACATTGGAGGTACAAAAATTGAGGTCACACAGATTGGCGGAAATAAGTTTAGCCTCCCATAGGGATTAGACCTCTTAATGGGGGTTCAGCCAAACTGCTACTTAGGAGGAATAACATGGAGTGCGCGTCCAAGTTTGTCACCACTTCAAATACTATGATATCGCTTTATTTCAACTTAAAAGTCCACACATTATACAAATATTCATACATGGATTTCAGAGACAATTGCTATGCCTCTTCGAGCGAGGCTTCAAGTACTACTATACGGTAGTTACACGACAATTGAATCCGAGCTTGCACTCCATGTCATTCCACCCTATTAGCAGTTTAGTCAATCTCCCATAAAGAGGTCGAACCCCTATAGGAGGGTGAACCCATGTGTTGAAGTCGACCCAATATGGGAACCGAACTACCTAGCAAAATAAGTCAAGTCTAAGTGTTGTGTCAGAATTGGGTAACAAAATGGTATTATCATTAAATGCTCATGATTGATAGATACATATGACAAGAAGCCTTAGTCATCTGGATGAGGCCACGTATATTTTCATCCAACGATTATTATCCATCATTCTCTATTGTAAAAACTCACACAATGCTTTATTCTACAGGTAACGCAAGTTTCGACTCAAACTATAACTTTGATATCTACATTTACTCAGATATTCTTCCCCAAAGCCGAACCCCCTTTTACATAAGAGACTCGTGTCTAAAGCATCTCCCATACTCAAATATTTATTGCTTCATTTGACTTGATCGTTAGAGTGCGCGCGACCAATACCACTATCAAGGTAAGGTCACTTGTGGCTAATGATTTGTCCCAATGTGTATGAACTGGCTTAAGGTTAACAAATTGGAGCAAATGGATTCAGCCCCCTATACGGGTTCGACTTCTTAATAGGGGTTCGACCAAATTGCCACCGAATAAAATGGCATGTAGTGCGAGACCAGGTTCGCTTGCAGCGACACACCAAACACCACTTCAAATAACATGATATCGCTTTATTTCAACTTAAAAATCCACACATTATCTAAATATCCATATATGGAGTTCGAGGACTATTGTTACTCCTTTTCCAAGCGAACCTAAGTTTACACTCTGTTATTCCGCCCTAATAGTAGTTTGTCCGAACCCACATGAAGAGGTTGAACCCATATGGGAGGCCGAACCCATTTGTCGGATTCGACCCCATATGGGAACCGAACCCTCATGGATGAGGTGAGGCTACTAGGAGATTGGCAAAAGATTTTTTTATACAATCTTCAGTGAGTGATTGATGTGATAATTCATTATTATCATCGCCCCACCCAACCAAATGGGTCAAGTCTAAGTATCGTGTCAAATTTTGGGCAACAAAATGGTATTAATATTAAATGCTGATGATTGATTGATACCTATAACAAGAAGCCTCAGCCGTCTGGATGAGGCCACATATATTTTTATCCAATGGTTGTTATTCATCATTCTTTACTATAAAAGCTTACACAATGCATCATTCCAAAAATAATACAAGTTTGGATTCTCAAACTATAATTTTGCTATTAATATTGACCCAAAGTCGAACCTCTTTTTATATAAGAGGCTTGCGTCTAAAGCACTTTCATACTCAAATATTAATTGCTTCAACTAACTTGACCAGCGAATGCATGCAACCAACTTCACCACCAACGTGCAAGGCCATGTGTGGCTAACAGTTTGTCCAAATGTGCAGGAATCGAATTATGTGGACGTGAAAGGCCTTGGAATTTGTTGACTACATTGGAAGTACAAAAAATTGAGGTCAACAATTACTTTTAGTTTGTCCCATTTTATGAAAATTAAAATCAAATTTTTAGTAGATTTTGATAAGAGTTAACAAAATATGTGGTTGAAAAGTTTGGGGTCCCATGAAATATACGATTAAAAATTAATTATTGATTTCATATTAGATTAAAATTTAGATTTTAATTTGTCCAAACATGGGCTTTATTCCATTTATAGTTTGTACTTGTTTAGTAGGGGTGTCAACAACACGAGTTTCTAGTTCCAAAAGTTTTAGCGAGGTTCTTTTTTTCTTTTTTTTTTTTGCAAGTCACAATCACATCCCTAGTTTGGTAGTGATTGTAAGTGTTGTTTTGTATTGAATGTGTGAACTGTGAATAAGTGGAAAAGTCCGTTCTCTTTGAATTTCAGTTTTGTGTTTTAATTTTTGAATTCATTTTAGGTTTTGTGTTTGAGTGTTCATTTTGAGATTGTCTAAAATGTGTTCTTTTTGGCGTTTTGAAAAATTATTTTGAAAATTTTGGCTTGATTATAACTGAAATTACCAAAAACGACAAATTTGTCGTTTTGGATTTTTTTTGTAAATTTTTAACTTATTTTAAAAAATGCATTTTCGAAAATAGAAAAGAAAACGCGTTTCAATATTTTGAAAAATCGAAAACAGAAAATGACTTAAAAATGGTAAATAAAACATGTCTAAAGTTTTGATTCATAAGAAATGTATATAAATCCTAAAAAGTATGTCTGAAAAGTTAAAATTATAATTATAAGGTTTCGCAAACATGCTCATAAAATAATCCAACAAAACGATGTCTTAAGAATTAATCCCAGTATAATTGGCAACTGAGTTCAAAACCCCCCCACCAGGTGAAAACCTCCGTCCCTGCGAAATTCGACGGAACCCTCGCTTCCCGTTAATTCCTAGCGCTATGAGCGACCGTCGCGAACGGGACAGGGACAGGGACAGGGACAGGGATAGGGATAGGGATAGGGACAGGGACAGAGACCGGGACCGGGACCGGAAAAGAATACGCGAGGACCGGGATTACGACCGCGACCGTGAACATAGCAAACGTTCTCGTTCTCGAACACCCGACCGGAGCCGATCCCGCCACACCAGATCCCGCACACGCTCTCCTGACGACCGCCATCGCCACCGTCACCGCCACCAACGCTCTCGCTCCCCTTCATCCCCTCCTCGAAAGCGACACAAGGACGAAACTGTCCTCCAAGAAAGGGACAAGCACAAGGACCGCACTAGGGCAGCGTCGGAGGATCAGAAAGAAAAGAAGCATAAGGAGAATGACGTTGATGATGATAATGATGGGAATACAATGGACGAAGATGAGATTGAGATGATGAAGAAATTGGGGATTCCTATGGGCTTCGATTCAACAAAGGGAAAGCCTGTCCCAGGCAACGACTTGGGGGCTGTAAGAAAGGTCACAAAGCGGCAGCCGAGACAGTACATGAACCGCCGAGGGGGGTTCAATCGCCCCTTGCCTGCCGAGGTCAACCGCTAAAAGGAAAGGAATTTATCATCCAGGTTAGGGTTTGTTATCCGTGGCAACTTGACATAATTTCGGTTGCTTTTCTTGGCTGCCTCAATTGATATCCAATAATTATGATATATTGCAGTGGTTATTTTATGGTTCTCCTAACATGTTATCCTTCCAGTTGTTTGGATGATTGGAAGTCTGTTGCTTGGTTAGTTGGAAGTGTATGTTATCCTTGCGATTTTCTATTTCTTCTTGATATAGTGCCAAGCCTAAAATTTATGTGAATTAGTTGGTTCTTAGAACACAATTTAAAATCTGTAAACTTCATGCCGCCATGCTCAAACCGACAAACCAAAATGTAATTTACTTGTATATTGTCTTCTTTCAATCATGTTGGGTTGAAGAAACTCCCATCCCAACTCCTATTTAGTATGAAATATTCCATACAATTTATTCTCATGACCTCCTTTCTGGCCATGCCATACATTTTTGAAGTTGCGGGACCCTTACGATTTTAGTGGCACTAAGTTGTGATTCAAGGGAAAAGGTCAGAGTAACACTTTAAGCATAGGACATGGTTGGGCTGCTAAGTCGAACCGGACCATTCCACTTGCCATTTTCACTCTCCTAGGGTGCGATCTCAGGGAGCTAATTTAACTTTTCAAATATGTAATGAAGTATTAACAAATTTTTTGATTGCAAGTTAGAGAAATAATAGAAGAAGAGAGAAAAAAAAAGTGCAAATCAAGGATTTCAATTCAACTAGTTCGTGTGATTTGGGATATTTTACCGTAAATAGATTACACAAGACAAGGCTTTTTTCGTATAGTTAATATATTTATGAGAAATGATTTTTGAATTATCTACCATGGAATTTTTTTCTAATTAAATAATATACTTCTGAATTCATGCTGCTGGACCTAAACCAACTCCTTCACTCATAATTTTTATGATTTAGCTCTCATTTGGTTCTGTTGTGCGTTCCTTATTGCATCAAATTACTCTTTCATCCACATCCTTGTGGGATGTGAGTGCATAGTAGTTGTGGAAGATATTTATGACTTGTTTTTGTTAAGAAAATATTAACCACCAAATAAACGGATGAGATAAGCTAAATTTTTGCCCTGCCTCTTTGCTTTACGGTGTGTATTCTGGCAAGTGTTAAACCTAATCCTCTCTAGTTTTACATACAACAGAAAAAAGATTGGAGATAAAAACAAGGAAATAAGTCACGGCTGAATGCTCACATTCAACTACTGGACGTTTAACAATGGATTACTAGTTTACTACCATGTTAGCATTGATGACGTAAAAAAGAAAAGGAGATGTGACTTGACCCTGCAGTAAACCACTCCATAGTTCTTTATGTTATAATTTTCTCAAATCACAAAAATGACATTGGACTGAAAATACTCTGAAACTTAAGGCTTAATCCATAAACAGAAATTTAATGAGGTTGAGGTTCTTAATACTTTTAACTGCAGTTAAATTTATTGATAACACTGCTGAAATAATGAAGGCTATACACGTGTACTAAAATGTCATGCTAACAACCTTTTATTTTAAGTCAAAACTCTTTTGGGTCTTGTGCAGATGAAATTGCAGGCCATGGCTGTTCTTTCAAGATTTAGTGGTTTCTTGCCCTATAACGAGTGGGATAACCATGAGGCAATGATGTAAGACTACCTCGATTTGTTCTATTGAGAATGTATTGGTACCATTTTATCACATTTACCTGTAACTGCAGTTTCTCTGATGCTGTTTTGCATCTGATTATTATTAGTAGTGACTGTCGCATTACAATCGTTTGGATTTTTCCAATTAATCAAAATATTTATGATACATTTGGTGTTACAAATTCTTTATTTTGTAAATGCACATTTCATTATGTGGAGTTTATGTTACAATGACTGGTATTTAGTGTGATCATAGTCATTGTTTGTGGCATCATCTTTTTTTTTTCAATGTTTTTTAGTTATTTTTGGCCAGAACTTTAGGCTTGTGGGTATTATGGAGTTGACAGATAAAGTAAATTAATGCAAGGAGTTGTTGGCATGGCCCAAGGGACACTGTTTGACACTAACAAAAACGACCACTCTATTGACGAACTTGGGCAGCGCAATCAATTTGGTCGGATGATTTTGCCTCAACTTTCTGTCTGTAAAATATACCCAATTTAGTGACTTCACCTTCCAAAACTTGCATAAATTACAGTCGGGTGATATTATGCTCTTATCCTATGTTTGATGATATGTTGGGCATGCATTTCGTTGTTTCGCTTTGAGTTATCATCTTTAAAGAGTATTAATGAGCAAGTAATAAGGATGACGCTAGAAATTAATACGAAACATTTGCACTTCTCCTAGGAGAGGTGCGAATTTGCTACCTCAAATTAGCCAGGTTCTTGTGTCAAACTTGAGAATCTCTCGACTTGTAAATGTGATCAGTCGGCCACCATATCCTTTTTCCTAAATACGAAGGGTAAGTGTAATATCAAGGAAAATCAAACTAACAGAGAAATAATATATAAATGGACAACATATTGCGTTCAAATGGTACCACATATATAGAAGTTTGAAAGATGAATGATAATAATATTACTAATTTCCAAAGAATGAACTCATTTGATTTGCATGCTGAATCCTCCCTTAATGCCAAAGCTTCATGCAAAACCCTGCTGGCACGGTCGAACATCTCTTGTTTGAAATAACATCAGAAAAGGTGTCGACAAGTTGTCCAGCTAGAGATGCTGGATCTTCAATGAATGTGTCGATGAATACTTTCGCAACCCTCACCTCTTGCGGGGTTGCTGTCAAGCTGTACCAAGTCAAAAACTTCTGCCTAAACGTTGTTTCTATATGACCATCACATTCCAACCATCGGATTACTTTGACATAATACTCAAAATTCTTGTCTCCAATTCCAGTACAATCTTCGTCTCCTTCACTTTTCTTCTTTGAAGGTTCCTTCTCCTTTGCAGATACACCCCTCCCGACATGTTTATGTCTGTTGTTCCTTCCATTCCCATCCTTTACATTCTCCAACTTGCAGGGGGTGATAGGCAAACCATTTTCTGAACTATCCATGTACGGCACACATTCCAAGCCAGCCTGACTAGGGGTATTTGACAGGTTATCAGTGCTTGTTCCCTCAACCGTCTGGCCTTCTAAAGTGTCTTTGCTTTTTAGATTAACAGCATCATTGTTTTGTTTTTTTTTCTCGTCCAATAAAGAGACTTCATCTCTAGTAGTCTCCTTTTGGCTCTCTAAGCAGGTGGTGGTGTCACTAAGAAAATTTGCAGAAGAAGATTTATCGGCATTTCTACAAAGTGCACGATAATTATCACCTCTATTCTCATACCCAATGCTGCATGGCATGACATTGTTAGTTTCATCTTCAACTGAAGAAGGATTAGAAAGGGTGCTACAGTTGGTGGCCAGACTTTGGCTTCGTTCTACTTCCACGTTCGTAGAATTTTTTTTTGTTTGTTCACTTTGAGAATTATGCTTTTCCATCTCTCTATTGTCGTTTTCTTCAAATCTGACAAGTTTTGCAGCAACCATAGTGCTATCTAGACAAAATTAAACCCACAAATTTGCCATATGGCTATCACTTCCCTCAAAATGAAACCAGCATTGAACAAATGCAAAATACGGGTATTACGTGGTTGAAAATGGGGAGAGGGAGGGAGAGAAAGGTGTGTACCAGAAGGTATATCGGACACCCTGTTAGAAAGCATGGAGTCAAGAGAATCCACTGCCGAAGCACATAATCTTTGAACTTCTGGTCCTGATGAAAGCCTGTTTACAATCCCTCTCGCCGTCTTAACAGGTAAACCAGTTAACGGACCCACATCCTCTTCAAGCTTTTTCACTGCTTCATCTGTGATTTCATATAGATTTTGGTAATGCTTAGTTCCTGCAAGAATCTTTTGGCTCAAGGAGAGCCTATAGCACAGTATATCCACTCGCCTCGTATCCCTTGCTACTGTTAGTTGCTTTCTCCATGAGCTTATATTAACAGTAAGTAATAAAGCAGGTCAGTGCCTATTGAAAAGTAATGCAAGTTTTGTACTTTTGAATAATTGTACAATACATAACAAGGAATGAATAAAAGAGAGAAGAACCAAGACCGACATTACCTGAGCAAATCATTCACCTTGTCACAAGATACACAACAAAAGCTCCCATCAAGTCTCTTATCCTGCATACTATTAGTGATGCCAGATTTTTCGTGCCGCAAGGCACATTCAAGGTGACACGACATGCCACATGACTTGCCTTGAAACGGAGGGTCTGAGCCGCAAACTAACCACAGGCTTGGGTCCTTGTTGTCATCATACTGTCGACAAATGCAGCACGAACACCTTTTGCAAAAGACGTCTTCATGATATAGTTTAGCTTTACAAGCTGAATTTTTGCAGCATATGGTATTAATTAAATCACCATCAACCATGTTAGATGCATCAGTATTTGCTGCAGAAAGCAGATGATTCGGGTTATCAGATTTCCTCTGCCGTTTGGGAGTCCTTTCACCATGTTCAAATAAGAAACGTGTTTCAGGAGGACTTGCAGTTCCTCGCTCCAGGGATTTCTTCTCAGACACGACTTTCAAAAGTTGTTCGATCATCTTTAACTTTGTTAAGCCCGTATACTTCCTTTCTTTCCCGAGCTCTGCACAGAGGATTTGCAAGATATCCTGACGGCTCCATGCTTGAAGAATCTCTGTTGCACCATCTGACCACTTGGATAATTCATAGACTACTTCTCTCTTTTGCTCCATTGTCAACGTACTGCACTTTGATGGATCAAAAACCAACTCTGCAGCCAAAAACGTTGTGAGTTAACAAGAAAATTTAAATATACGATACCATCTTTTCCCTTAATTTGGTACATTCAATTACTATTAAACTGGAGAGTTCTCTGAAATGCTTGAAATGTAACGAAGTTTCGATCTAGACTATCTCTATTAACTCGTTATATGAATGCTTCAACCACAAAGCAGTCACCAAACGAAAAGAAAAGGAGGATGATCAAAGGGTATCCAACTACAAACAACAAGACAAGTGTTGTCAAGACAAAAACATTTCTTCTCCTCACATTACAAAACCCCAAATTCAAGAAAAAGCATAGCCTATTCAAGAAAATGGTGTAGCAATTTGCTGGTAACTTCCATGATGCCCCCACGTTGAACTTCCGTAACAGTAGCCACTATTCTATTCAATTCAATATTTTAAGAAGAAACATCAATTTCATCAAATTATAGACAAATACATCCAAAAATATTTACATTTCGGTTGGGGGAGAGAGAGAGAGAGAGACAGTAATAAACAGCTGGCATTTCTTTGTTAATTTTTCTCTTATAAGCATCCTCTAAAATAATTGGGTAAGCATTAATTGTGACATAACTATTTATAATGAATGCTAACAGTTGAGCAAAAAATTACAGTCTCAGACTCAGTTTAACCAAAGAAAATAATCCCAAAATATATTCAAAAGAAGCTAAAACACGCGAGGGAAAAGTCTAACAAAACAGATCAAGATAAACTTTATGACCCATTATCCCCAAAATTTGTAAATAAAGATCCAAAGTTTTTCACATCGAAAGTATCGATACGCTCATTGTTAACAGACCCAGAACCAATTTTATTTTTTTTTTAAAAGAAAGAAAGAGAAATTCTTTACCCTCCAAAGAAGAAACATCCATGACTTGCAGTTCTTTCAATAACAAAAAACTATGCTCGCATTACACCATAACCCCATTCTTTCTTTGCCTGAAAGACACATTTTTCAGTCATGCATATATACACAAACATGCATATACATACAGATGAAGGGGTGGGGGGGGATACGAGTACCAATGAGATGCGATGCGACGGGCGAAAATTGAGGCACTAGCAAGGAATCCATGAAGAGATGGGTCCTTAACGTGGGTTATTCAGCACCCAAAGCACCATATACATATAATAATGTCTGTGTCTCTGTGCGAGTGTGTGTGTGTGTGTGAAAGAGAGAGAGAGAGAGAGAGAGAGAGAGAGAGAGAGTGGTTGAGGAGAGATGAGAAAAGTAAGAGAAAAGAAGTCCTAGTAATATACAGAGTAAGAAAGCGGCTGAATCAAGAGATGGGTCCTTAACGTGGGTTATTCAGCACCCAAAGCACCATATACATAGAATAATGTCTGTGTCTCTGTGCGAGTGTGTGTGTGTGTGTGAAAGAGAGAGAGAGAGAGAGAGAGAGAGAGAGAGTGGTTGAGGAGAGATGAGAAAAGTAAGAGAAAAGAAGTCCTAGTAATATACAGAGTAAGAAAGCGGCTGAATCTCTGTTCATCCATTTTACCTTTTCCGCCCCGAATTTTGCGTTGGTTAATTACCTATGTTGGTAAAATAGAGATTTAGGGTGCGTTGATTGAAGGGTGAAAAATGGGTGGAAAGAAAATGTTTTACAGGAAAAAAATTTGCCTAGAAAACATTTTGTGGAAAAAATGATTTCAAGTGTGTTTGATTGGTATAATTTTCCACCAGGAAAATTTTTAAATTTTCTATTCGTTTGACTTTATTTTACATGAAAATTGTCCATTAAGGTAATATTTTTTTCCACAATTGGTTATAAAATTTGTTTTTATTGCCAAAAAGTAAAAAAAAAGGAAAAAAAAATTGTTTCCTAAAAAATCATTTTTTTCATCAAAGTTTAGTGTTCGTTTGACTTTGTTTTACTTGAAAATTGTCCAATTGATTATGACATTTGTTTCCCAAAAAAAAAAAAAA